CCCCCCCGCCCCAGGTGATCTCCTCCCTCCTTCCCTCGGACATGGGGAGATCCCACCTAGCCTCCTTTTGGTCTTCCACAGATGTCCACGTGACCATCACAGACGTCACATGACAATCCTCTCCACATACTCCACGTGACACCCCTTTATGCAGCTTCTATGGTGGCCTCCCGCACAGCCGACTCGAGGTCGTCGAACACGCCCCTCGCCATGCGGCTTTCGCTGTCAGCGAGTCTTACGCCCCTCCGCCAGGAAGAGGTCCCTCGCCGGAGTTGTCCTCCACCCGCAGAACTGCACGGCACCGCAGGCAGCCTTTCCTCCTTGCCAACTCCAGCTCAGGGACCTTGGTCCTCAGACACCACAAGCCGGGGCTCCTTACCTTCTCAGACTCCGGCGCTTCCGCCGCGTCCGAGGCAGACTCCAAGCCCGGAGCTCTAGGCTGCAGCCTCCATTCTGTCCTCCGTCCCCAGCGACTGCAGGCCTCCGGTCGCATCTTCCTCCATCTCGACTCGGTTCCCGGCACTGACGGAACCGGAAATTGGGCAGCTGTCATTACCGCCCCCCGCGTGGAGCCGTGAAATTCCACCAATGGCGTTTGAGCCTTTGCTCCGCCCCCAGGAGCGAGGAGGCGCGGCCTTGGCGGCCATCTTGGGATTGGGCAGCGGCCACGCCTTTCCTGGCTTCACCGCCCCTCGGCTTTTTGGAGCGTGCGCGTTCTGCGTTAGCGCGTTCTAATTCGCGGAAATTGAGTCACCTGATGGCTTAAGATCCAGTTGTAAATGGGTCACCTTGTGATTGGGTTCTGTTGGAATCTTTATGTTCAAATCGAATCCGTGATTTGTGTGCAAGCTTTCTCATTATTTATAGGGAGGACTGAAGTTGGAGAACCAATTTTGAGGTTTGGGAACCCAAACCTTAGGCTGGGCGCGGTGGCTCGCCCTCATAATCCCAGCACATAGGGAGGCGAAAGTGAGAGGATTGCCTGAGTCCAGTGGTTCAAGACTGGGGGGGGGGGGAGTATTTCACTCCTCTCTTCCTTTTTTGGAATTCTCAAAATGCAAATATTTCTTTGCTTAACATTGTCTATATGTCAAGTTGGCTGTCTTACATCTTTTTCTTTTTAAATCTGACTTGGTTATCTCAAAAGATACTTCTTAATGTTCAAAAAAATCTTTCTTCTACCTGATCTTCTTTATTGTTGAAGCTCTTAATTGTTTAATTTTTTATTTTGTTTTAATTGGAAAATACTTGTATGTATTCAGGGGTATACAGTGATGTTTCAATACATACAATGTATAGTAATCAGATCAGTGTAATTAGTACACTCATCATCTTAAATATCTACAATTTCTCTGTGTTAAGAATGCTCAATATCCTTCTTCTAGCTATTTGAAACTGTTTGAGCATTGTTTATGATCATTCATTGAATTATTCAGTTTTTAAGATTTCTATTTGGTTCTTT